GGGAGGCTGAAACCTGTGCCCACTTTAGTGTAGAGATGCAATGTGTTAATTAAAGCAGGGGCACTAAGGGACACTATAAACTGGTTAAAGTTGGCGAATGCATTGTTTTTCTTGTGTTGTGAAATGAATTCCAGCCATTTTTTTACTTAATTTTCGGGTTTCCAACTGAAAACTAATTTCCACACGTCACGAATTTAACTCAAACAACTTCATTTTACTGCACAGAATCTTTTGATGAGAAGATTGAGTTTCAAAACTCAATTAAAGATTGAGTTTTTGGGGCCGTTTTAAGGCCCTAAAAAATCCTTGAAAAAACCCCTGAAAGTCATCGTCTTTGTCTCCCACGTGCTACTATCAGACTTCCTTTTCGTTTCATGACTCGCATTATTTCATTGCTGTAGGGGGGTGTTGGGTGTTTCCTCCCTCGTTTTTTGTTGACATGGCACTTTGTCTCCGACCTTGATCTCGCTTGTTTCGACATACTTCTTGCTGTCTGCTCTCAGTTTCATGTTTCTTTTACTGATCTGGTCGTTCTGCCTGATTTCCTTGTCGTAAATCAGTATGGTTTTATTGGTGGGTGTCGGTAGTCTTGTTTTGTATTTTCTCCCATTAAACAGGAGAAGCTGGCGATTTCTTTGTCATTGGATGTGGGGTGGCTCGGTATGCACGCAGAAATTTGTGGAGTTCTTGGCGCAAGTTTAATTTTTCCTCTAGCGCGGTTTCGATAAGTTTTCCGAGGTTTTTAATGAAGTTCTCCGCTGCGCCATTTGCTCACGGGGCATATGGTATTTTCTTTTTGTGTTCAAAACCCATGTACTTGGCATATTGCCTAAACTTTTCACAGTTATATGGTGGCCCGTTGTCACTTGCTATTTGTGTAGGAATTCCAAACTGTGATAGTACCTTGTCAAGAGCAGGTATGCAGGCATCCGCTGAGGTGGATCGAACTATTTCGACTGCTGGATATCTTGAGTATAGACATTGGACGACTAGACGATATTCACATGTTGGAAGGGGTCCATGGAGATCTGTTGCCAGCACATCCCATGGCTCACCAGGTAGCAGTGTAGGTTTTAGTGGTTCCTGTTGTGGAGTTTTCACTGTGATAGTGTGACCACTTGGTTCCTTAGACTTTCCAGAACTACCATTTTACTTCCTCTTAGTACCAGTCCTTCCGCTGTTGAAAGTTCATTAAAAATATGTGAGTATAGCATTAGCTGTTGTTTGTCTGGGTTGTTGATGTATCCTGTTTGGATGGCTTGGATGAGCCGTGGCATTGTTGGATCTTTTCCAGTGGTCGTCTTCATTTGTTCCCTGGGATCTGGTATTTGGATAGGATGTCGGGACATGTAGTCGGTTGGGTTATCTTTCCCGGGTTTATGTTTTAAGTTGAAGGTATATCCTTGTACATTGAGCTTGTGCATGTGTATTTTTGGGGGCATGTCTGCTTGGTAGCTGTTGTAAAGCGGTAGTAATGGCTTGTGGTCTGTGATGACCCTGAATTCTGGTAGACCATAGAGATAGATGTGATTTCTTTTGATCGCAATTCGACTGCTGCTCTATTTGAGCATACCTGGATTCCGGCTGTGTAGTGGACCTTCTGTCATACCGAACTACCATCTTGTATTGCCCTGTTTTTGGGTCAAGCTGAGTGAGCATACTGGCGAGACCATATTTAGAGGCATCGACAATGAGTTCTGTTGGTCGGGTGGGATCATAATATGACATAACTTGAAGGTTCACCATTATTTGTTTCAAGGTCTCGCAGGCTTTCTGGCATTTCTTCGTTCACTGAAACCTGGCATTTCATCTTCGATGTATTATTATTATTATTATTATTATTATTATTATTAAATTGAAACCACATTGCAGCCAGAAGCTGAATTGCGTGGATTACATATTATCACATGCACTACATATAAATATATTATTAATACAATATTATAAAACCCACCCACGATCAAAATTCGATTAAAATAAGCATAAAATCTATCCTACAAACTTCCTACACATAGCAGGGATAAAAGAGTTATAAAAGCGGTTCGTGCGTGTAACGTACATATTAAAATACCGATTCGTCCTGAAAGAATAATCAGTCTCGTTCTTCGGGGGCAGCAGATGATGAAGTTTATGCATTGGATCCTTGATGATACTCGTAAAGAGTTTGTCACACATGTCCTCTCTTCTTTGAAATAGAGTAGGCAGTCTAAAATACTCAAGGGCCTCACAATATGTCATTTCAGGAGATAAAATTTTTAGCACACGTTTCGGGACAGTCTCAAGTTCGTCTGCCAAATACTTTGGGATGGAATGATGGAAGGCTTGCGCACAATACTCGAGCACAGGCCTGATCACTGTACAATAAAAGTTCAAGACATCATTGACATTTACGCTTGCCCGTTTCAATAATACTATAAAATAGGGGCGTTTATTAGCTTTCTTTATACTCTCTCTGATGTTATCTTTCCACTGAAGTGTGCCTGTCATAACAAGACCCAATATTTTTGCACTCTCAACTATAGGCAATGCTTCTCCACCCACCAGTACAGGATCAAAAGGTTGTTTAATTTTTTTTAAATCGATTCTCAGTTCTTTACATTTCTCAGTGTTAAGAGATAGCCCATTTGCCTTCGACCAATCTTCCACAACATCAACTGCGACTTGAACACGGCTCTCTGTGTCCTTACTAACCACTTCAGCAACTGTTGTGTCATCAACAAACTTCCACCTCGATATATCACAAATATCAAGATCGTTTATCATTAAACAAAATAGCCAGGGCCCTAATTTTGTACCTTGAGGGATACCGGAGAGTACATCACCCCACTCCGAATAACAGTCATTGGATAATTTCACTCTCTGCTTTCGATTCATCAAAAAATCGATTGTCCAGAGAACAACCGCACGTGGAATAGCTAAATTGGAAATTTTATCAGCCAGTAAAGCATGATCGATAAGGTCGAATGCTTTTCTATAATCGAACAGGATGACTCTGACAGCAGAGCCAGTGCCATCAGTAGCTTGCGACCATTCATGGATCATAGATATAACAGCAAGAGTAGTTGAACTTCTTGGTATTACTCCATATTGACTTGGATCGATTATACTCATGATAGCTGGAGCAATGTATTTTTTAACAACACAGTCCTCAGCGATTTTCGAAATAGCGGCAGTAAGTGAAATTGGTCGTAACTGCTTACAAATGTCGCTAACGGGCTTAGTTTTTATGAGGGGCACAATGTTAGCAAGCTTCCAAGATTTAGGTAGTTGTTGTTCGGCATAGCTGCTGTTTAGCACAGCGCATACTGGCTGTGCAAGGATTTCAGCATATTCCTTAAGAGCCCAATTGAGAATTTCGTCAGGACCTGACGCCTTTCCACGATTAATTGCTTTCAGTAAATGAAAGACTTCCAATTCGTTCACTTGAAAAGAGGAATAATTATCAAAGGGGGGAAGGGTTGACAGTGGATTGAAGGAGTTCATTTACCTAGGGCTTTTACCTTGTCTTCCGTTGGTGACATACCTGCTGCCGAGAATTTCATGCCAAAAATATCAATTTCTGGCTGATCAAAATTGCATTTGGGTAGTCCTAATGTTAATCCACAATCTTCGAATCTCTGTAAGACTTGTGCAAAGCAATGTCGTGCTCCTGTTGTATCTTTCCGTACACAATGATGTCATCATACAGGTTATCTGCATTGTCTACATCTCTTCGTGAAATAAATCTGCTGCTGAGTTAGTTCCAAAGTTCAATCGTTTGAAACGTCGGAGTCCTCGATGAGTATATAGTTTCTTTATTTTAAAAAATTACCCTAAGGCGGGTGTAACTATAAGAGGACACGAAGTCCCATGCTAAATAGTAAACAAACACCCCAAAGTGTTTCAAGGCATTGGAAAGCACAAATATCGTCAAGTGGAGTTAATAATTGATGACTCGGTCCAACCAAAGGTTCAGGCGCAACGTAGGATTCCATTCCCAAAGAGGCAGCAATTTGAAAAAATCATCCAGGAGCTCGAGGAGGCTGACATCATAGAACAAGTAGAAGGGCCAACGGAGTGGATATCCAATGTAGTGTTGACCCCGAAAGCAGATCCATCACAGCTTCGAATGAATATTGATATGACAACCGTGAACACTGCAATAAAACGCACAAGACACGTGATACCAATACTAGAGGAACTGAGGTATAAATTAAATGGGGCTACCCACTTCACTAAACTGAACATGAAACAGGGATACTGTACATGCAACTGGAGCTAAAACCTGAGTCGAGATATATAACAACATTCTATACATTCTATTTACTTTCTATTTACTTCACAATACTACAACATTCTAAGTATTTACTTCAAGTGTAAATTAGGCCTAATTCTAATGACATAGATCACTATTTGCAACACTGGTGATTCACCGGTAGATTTCTGTTGATGGAGTTGTGTGACAAAGTCCGTGACTTTGGATAAAGGTGTCAACTGCTTCGCCATATCTGCATAGAGTATGCCATATGGGTCCCTTGTTGTTTGGTCACTTTTTCGGGTAATAAAGTAAAAAACAAATTCCGAAAATACAGGACATCTTGAGAATTCAATATATAATTCAAAACAAGACGCAGTTAGAGACTGTAAATTTTCGACTTTATTTCAAAGTCATCTTCAGACAGAATGAAATACATATCAAAGTCATCTTCAGACAGAATGAAATACAATACAGTGTTGTAAAGTATTGTATTTCATTCTGTCTGAAGATGACTTTGAAATAAAGTCGAAAATTTACAGTCTCTAACTGCGTCTTGTTTTGAATTATATATTGAATTCTCAAGATGTCCTGTATTTTCGGAATTTGTTTTTTACTTTATTTTTTTTAAATTGTCGGCTGGTCATGGTTTTCGAGTAATGGTTGCTTAATTCCCCTTCTGGTTGTTGTAGCAGTTCATTCATACTGATTTTCAGAATATCTAGATCAAAAGCAGTGTACTTGCCCATAATTGGAGTTGATGTTGGTTTCTCTGTCACATAGAATGTTTCGTTCACCTCGTGACCATTCGCTAGAACTTTCGTTTTGAGCCATCCTTTTACTGGCAATGGCTTTGATCCATATGGTTTCAATTTAGCACTGGAACGTCTCAGTGGGGATCGTTTGTGCAATGTTTGATATGTTTTATAATTCATAACGTTGATTCTGCACCCGAGTCCACTTGTACTTTTAGCCGTTGGTCTTGTACTCTAATTGTTACCTTGGTGTTGTATTCTGATGGTTGTGACATTGCTTTTGTCACTTTTGTGTCAGTGGTCACTTGGTCAAGTTCCCATGTCAATTGGTCAAACTTGTATGAAGCCCGTGGGTCTTCGTTGTCACCACCCTCTTCTTGAAGCTGTTCTATCGGTTTATATGCTTTGTATGGTTTGGACTGACAGACTACTGCGAAATGTCCTTTCTTCTTGCATTTATTGCAGGTAGCCCCGCGTGCCTTGCACCTTCCCTTGTGGGGTCTTTGCTGTCCACAATATTTACAAACTACCACTGTGCCTTTGTTTCTGTGCATTTGTCGGTCATGTGTTTCTTCTTGAGATGTTTGTGACTTTGTGTATAACTACCTTTTGACTCATGGCTCGTCTTTGACACAGTATTTACCGTTGACTCTACTGGTTCCAGAATATTTTGCTTCATGAAGGTCACCTCCCTTTGTGCGAGCTCTAAAGCTCTGGCACTGTCTATGAGTGTTTTCAAATCCATATCCTTTGCTATAATGTCTCGTTGGAGTTTGTCTGATGGAATGTGTAGGGTGACTACTAGCTTAATCGCTTCATCTAATGTCATGTTCTCAAACTCACAGTCTTTACCTTTTGTCCGGAGTCTGGTTATCCAGTGGTCATGAGTTTCTTCTGGTGATGTGGGCTTTGTGCAAAAAAATCGGTATCGATCCGCTGTCAAATTCTTTTTTGGAGACTTTGTGTATAACTACCTTTTGACTCATGGCTCGTCTTTGAAACAGTATTTACCGTTGACTCTACTGGTTCCAGAATATTTTGCTTCATGAAGGTCACCTCCCTTTGTGCGAGCTCTAAAGCTCTGGCACTGTCTATGAGTGTTTTCAAATCCATATCCTTTGCTATAATGTCTCGTTGGAGTTTGTCTGATGGAATGTGTAGGGTGACTACTAGCTTAATCGCTTCATCTAATGTCATGTTCTCAAACTCACAGTCTTTACCTTTTGTCCGGAGTCTGGTTATCCAGTGGTCATGAATTTCTTCTGGTGATGTGGGCTTTGTGCAAAAAAATCGGTATCGATCCGCTGTCAAATTCTTTTTTGGTGAGAAGTGTGCTGTGAGAGCGTCCTTTGCTGCCTTGTAGGTATCCCCCGCGACTGTAAGGTAGGAAAAATCTCCCCGAGGGTCTGTCCTCCTACTGTGATCCGCAGGGTCAGTTACTCCCTCAAAATTTAACACTAGTTCAAAGTTTTCCAGCCATTCTTTCCATCGTCGGTCCAAATCTGTATGTGCTAAATCTGTATGTGCATAAACATATACGCCCGTATTCTAAAAGCTCACCCACACTGACACTCAATGAGTGGAGGTTCAATCTGAGCTTTTCTTGAGTGTCAATGCTGTTTTTGAATAGCTGGAGGGGGAGTAGTCACCGACTTTAAATTCAAGGAATAAATGTCTGTCAACCATATGTTCTTGCGCCCATAGTGGGACATGGCTGTTAAGGTTTCCTTCAAATTTTCGATAGCAAATTCAAACGAATTTTCTGCAGCTGTTTAAACATTTCCTGCGAGCAGTGCTCGCGTGCTCGCCTATTTTTTCCACCCCTGCCCGTCTCGGAGGATTTTGTTTCTGAAACATTGCACGTACTGTACGCACACCGTGTCAAATAAAAAATTGTACCACCATTGCATGACGTCAGATAAAAATTTGCACGTACTGTACACACACACCTTCAGGGGTGGAAAATTTTTTTTTCTTTCTGGGAACCTGGGTCAAAGGCTAGAAATTTTCTGTAAAATTTGTAATGCTACAATTACAAAAATAACAAAACAAATGCATAGATTATATTGATGTCGAAGGAACTAAACCCAGTTTCGAAATATCACATACTCGAACCGACCTGACCGCATAGCTCAGCTGGCAGAGCATTGGGCTAGTATTCCAAAGGTCGTAGGTTTTCGATTCCCACCGTGGCCAGCGATTCCCACCGTCGATTCCCACCGTGGCCAGGCATATTTTTCAAGCTTGCCCGGTGTGGATACACACTCAGAATAACATCACAAACATCATAGTAAGGATCTAACACTTAAGTAAGTGTCCTATCATCTTATTTATTCCATCACCTTTATTTGTTTACTATTTAATTTGCATTTTATTGGAGATTTTGCAGAGCATATATTTACCATTTTACCAGTCATTGTGATGGCAGGGGTGGGTAAAAGAATCAATTTCTGTCAAATATTTAAAAGCTGCTGATGTTAGCGTGTACAGTGTAAATAAAGTAGAATCGTTGTAACTTGTAAGTTGAGTAAACAGAGTTATCTCAAAATGTTGAAATATTTTCTGGAAAATTTTCTGCAAAACTCTCAACTCAAAAAAATTTCTGGGAACTAGGTTCCCAGGTTCCGATACTTTTTCCACCCCTGCACACCTTATGACGTCACTTCCGATGCCAGATGAGGGCTATTAAATTCCCCTCACAATAACTATAAACATAACAATATTTAATTCATCAATCCTGCAATTGACCATAAATTTGCGTAATCGACAAAATTTTGATCTAAACAAGTCTGGACAAAAATTTTATCACAGCTTGAAAGAGCATCACAAAATTAGTAATATTCCAAAGTTTCGTTGCGAAATGTTGTAAAATGCGGATAATATAGCCTTGCGAAGTTTGCAATTTTCAGTCATTTTAGATTACAAACGGAAAATTGACAGCCTCAAAGCGTATCGGGCTGTCAATTTCCCGTTTGTAATCTAAGACCCCGTTTACACGGTACCGGACGAATTTGTGACCGGACGAAAGTTCGTCCGTTTCGGCCGTGTAAACACACGAGAACCACGGAACCGGACGAATTTGAGACCCCCTAACAGGACGAATTCGCGTGTAAACAGGCGAAAAGGACGAATTTTCGTCCGGTCCCAAATTCGTCCGGTACCGTGTAAACGGGGTCTAAAATGACTGAAAAACGGCAAACTTCGCAAGGCTATATTATCCGCATTTTACAACATTTTGCAACGAAACTTTGGAATATTACTAATTTTGTGATGCTCTTTCAAGCTGTGATGAAATTTTTGTCAAGATCAAAATTTAGTCTGTTACGCAAATGGTCAATTTAATTACCGGTATACTACTTTGCAAACTGCACGTACGCAAAATGACGTCGTACGTGCGTACGTACGCAAAATGACGTCACACGCGTACGTACACAAAATGACGTCATACACCCTATTCCCTCCTTGAACACTAATTACTTCCGATGGCAGATGGGGGGTAACACTACTAATGCCAGATGATCTTACTTGTCAAGGAGAACCCTCATGGGTTAATCAGGCCAGGGTTTTCCTTTATCAGGCGCTAATCAGTAAAATTTAACGTTTCCACGACCACTGATTCCCACCTGGAGAATTGTTAAGACATACTTCTAAATAATTATTGTGCAAAAGATCCTATTATAAATCAGGTATTGCTGACATTCCACAGTATTAATTTCTTAGTGTTGATATTATCATATATAATTTATGTTTATTTTATAAGGTTTCTTGTTGAAAACACAGTTTTGCTTAAATGTTGGTTTAGTATATAATCTTGTCTTTAGTATTCTATAATGTGGAAAAATGGAGGAAATGCAATTTCAGACTAGCGGCTAAATCGAGGAATGCACATTTGCCCGACGCCATCTTGAATTCCGCGCAATGACCTGGGTCTCAGTTATGATGTCATAGTATCTATCATGAATGATGTAATGAAAACAAACGTATTCGCGGAAAATGAAAAATATTGGATTCTGA